TGTAGTTTAAGACAGTAATTTGTAAATAACATTTTAAATAGTCAATCTTGAATTTTGTAAAAGATTGCACACATTAAATATGAACACTTTTTATTCTTTAGACCTTAAAATTATGGTGACTAATTCCCCCGGTTTGCCCAGACTAGCAGTTTCTTAAGGTGCAGAGCTTTCAGCGCTCACATCAGGATAGTTCCAGAAAAACAGATAACTGGTCACCTAGGACTGGCCTGGTGAGAACTCAAAACCAAGCCAGGGGAGCACTCTGATGCTGACAGCAGAGCCAGGTGCTCCCCATCACTGGCAGAAAGCTCCTGTTACAAGCTTCTTGAAGGGACGCTGGGACTTCACCATCCCTTTGGTCTCCTTCACACCCAAGATTCCATAATTCCTACTCTTTGTTTCTCTGCGCCAAGGGTCTTTAAAGAAACTAGAAGAATCCCCACCAATGACCTATTTTGAGGCCTGTGATACAAAGAGTTACTAAGCCACTAACTCATACTAATACAGACTTTTCAAAGATATTTCCCCATAGAAACACACTCACCCAGAGATACTCACACCCCCTTTTCTTTGCCATACTTTCCTCTCTTTTTCCCTCCAGGACTTACAGATTTAAGCCTGACTTGCTACTGGTCTTCAGTAGGTAAGCCTTAGCGCTCTGAACGGCAATCTCAAGCATGCTGGGGGCCGCTTGAGGCTCCGGCTCAGGCTCAGGCTCAGGCTCAGCCTCATCCTCATCCAGATGACGTTTACTGTCTGAGTCTTCCTCCTGAGAAATGTCACATCTCAGGTCTTCCTGTTTAGAGTTGTTATGGTTCGCGTCCCTCGGCTCATACAGGTGACCGTTGGTTTGCTGGAGCTGCTGAAAGGCGTTCCCCTTTGACTGGCATGTTTGATGGAGAGTTGATTGTCCTTCATCAGATGATTGTTGCAAGTGGTCAGGGTGAGGTGTCCTGGCTTCAGGAATCCCCCTCGCGGTCTTGTCTGAGCGCCACGGTGCAGCCCCGACAGAGCCAGAGGAGGAGGGGAGGAGGGCTCCCGAGGAGGCGCAGATGGTGATGCACCTGGTCCCGAGAGGTCATCCACAGGTGGGCTGCCTCTAAATGGCGGTCCCGAGGTGGGCTGCCTCTAGATGGCGGGCTCCCAGGGGGGCTGCTCCCGGGCTGGGGTCCAGTGTCAGGAAATTGACATTCATGGTTCCCAGAGCTTATTCAGAGTTCGCCAGTTTTACAAGCACTTGAGTATGTGTGTGTGTGTGTGTGTGTGTGTGTGTGTGTGTGTATAGTTCAATGCAATTTTATCACATGTATGGTAATCACCACCACAATTCTGGCAACTAGTAATCTGTTCTCCATCTCTTCAATTTTATTTCAAGAATGTTAAATAAATGTAATCACATAGGATATGACCATTTGAGACTGACTGAGAACATACTTTTAAAATATACTTATCTATGGACTTTTTAGATAGAAATTTTTTTTTACGTTATCAATGAGTGAAATGATTAGAAAGTCCTTTATGTTGTTTTTGTTTTATTTTTATTGAATTTATTGGGGTGGCATTGGTTAATAAAATTATACAGGTTTCAAGCATACAATTATATAATACATCATCTGTTTATTGTATTGTGTGTTTACCACCCCAAGTCAAGTCTCCTTCCATCATCATTTATTCCCCCTTTACCTTCCACCTCTCCCCTCCCTCTGGCAATCACCATACTGTTGTCTGTGTCCATGAATCTTTCTTTTTTAGTACATAGGTTTGATTTACTCTTAGGCCTTCACGTTTCCCTTTAAGTAAGGCAATAATTTATTTATTCTTTCATCCACAAATTTACCCAGTAACTGTTACATTCCGGGTACCGTTTTAAGCACTGAACAAAATAGATTTTTTAAAAATTCCTGTTTTCCTAGAACTAACATACTAGTGGTGAAAGACAGACACTAAACAATGAGTATAGTACATCATCACACTGTTTAGTGTATTGAAAGGTGATAAATGTTCTGGAAATAAGAAGGTAATGTAGAAAACTAGTAATCACAGGAAGTGTCAGAAGGCACACTGGGGAGGTTGCATTATTAAATAGGGTAGTCAGGGTAGGCCTCATGAACACAGTGGTAGGCAGAAATGAATGGAATGTGTAGTGAAAAGAGTTTTTGTCTCATGTTTCTACTTGATTCCTGAACATCTTCCACAATTTGCCAACATCCTTTTCCAGAAAATACATTCTTTATCTCCTACAAACCTGTCTGTATTTTTATTTACAATACCTCAGGAAGTATTTCGATTTATGGGATGATATCTTTTATTCTAGAAAATACTACTGCTTTGTCAATTGTAACCTTTAATTGGGAGCCACAGCCTTAACTGTAGACATATTCCATACTCAGTCCTTTTCTCTAGATTCTTTCTTCACCTCTATCACAGCCAGATTTATCAGAAACCAGTGAGACTTATGCTTTAGTGCCCCGCCATCTGACAGGCCCACTGCCATGCCCTGCGCTTAATTTTCTATTCTTTTTCTTATGAGACCCCTTCTAATTATATGAGCTTCTGCCCTATTTCTATCTAGAACTCAGAAGGAAAAGGCTCATACAAATAAAAAGCAACCCAGTGTCCTGATTTGAACTGAGATTATAACTTTGCAAATGAGCAGTCTAATTCTCTTGGGTTTTGTTAACTTTCAGTGGATAGATGCAATTCACTGTGGCTTTAGTTAATTTTGAGTGCAGTCTTCTGCAGAAGCTTCTTTCACAGTGAGAAATTAACACTTTGGGGAACATCTATGTGCCATGTTGTTACTCTAAAATACTTTGACCCCTACTGAAACCCCAAACAGTAGAAATTATGGTCCCAAACTCTGAGTCAGAGCACTAAGGTACTGTGTCAGCTTATACAGCTAGAAAGTTTGCATCTGGATTTAAAGCCAGTTCTGTCTTAAAGCTCATGGGGCCTCCACACAGCACAACCGTAGTGCTCTTTTTACTTTTCCTAAGTTGATACATGATTTTACCAAGATCATCCAGAATGCAAATTAGAGATAAGTGTGGGGGATAAGGTACTCAATAATTTTCCCAATAAATTACTTAGTAATAGGAAATTAGATAGACTGCATTTTCCCATTTATTAAATTTCATTCAATTTCACAGGATTTCTATTTCCTCTAAAAGTTCATAATCACATCTCATTCTTGTCTGATCTCTTCTTCCATTAGTCTAACAGGAAGCACACATAGCTAATCTGATCAGCCTCAAATGGAACCAAACCTGAGTGAAATCCTGGCTCTGCTTCTGGTAGGGGATTTTGGGACTGGAACAGGCCTTGTTCCCCTGGGCAGGATGGCTTCCTGTGGCTCTTTGTCCATCAGAGTGGAAGAATGAAACCGCAGAGGGAAGATGGTATAGCAAAGGTGGAAATTGAAGAACAAGTAGAAACTCCCACGTGGGGAGGGGGAAAGAGTCCCACCTAGTTCCTTTTTCCAGGTTTATAAAGGCTGCAGTTTGGGGGGTTTTTTTGTGCCTCTATATCCCCTCTGATTGGTCAGTATTCCCCTTTGATTTGGTTACTATAGTAACTCCTGAGCTCAAAGGTCAAACCTCACCTGGGACTGTGAGGCTCTCCTCCCTCACTGTTCTCCTATTCCCTCTGGGCTTTCTTCCTCCTTTATTTTTTAAATTTAGACATTTTGCTACTCCCAGTTCCCTTGTCTTATGGAAATGTAACTGCTGCCTCTTCAATGCCTGTCTGATGGAAATGTAACCTTTTGCAACTCTGTAAACCCTGTGTTTTTTCCATGGGTCCCCTTAATTTTAAAAATTCCCCAAACCTGCCTATTTCACCCCTAAAAATTCCTATTTTACTACTTCCTTCTGTAAAATGGGCATTGTAACATGGGCTGTGTAAGACTCTGAATACTTACTGAATGAAGTCTGCAAGCTTCCTTGCTTATAGCAGTTGCTCTCCATGAAACTTCAAGGCATTTCATCCCTACTAGTATTGGGGGCTCATTGTATAGATAACAGCTCTCCTGCAAGTTGTACTACCTGGACATTGAACTGGATGCCTTTGGGGGGTGATGTGTCCTTGGAAATACTAGGGCTTGTTCAGAAGCAGGGTGGTCCTCTGTCAGGCTATTGCAGAAGAGGTTTCTACTCAATGAGAGGCTGAATTGGAAACCTCTATATTCTTCTCTCTCAACTCCTATTAGAGTTTGGACCTGAGCTATAGCCTCTGCTTCAAGGTTCTTCACCAAACAAATGTATGATTTTCCCCTTTTCTGTGTTGATTACTTCGTACTAATCTGTTTCTTCTGTGGACAAAAGGGGCCACATGCTGACCTGACAAGCTCAGGGGAGGCCTGCATGGCGGTCTTCAAACTAAGAGACCTAAAGTAACCACAAAGGATGGCCTAAAATTAAACTTTAACTAAAAGCAGTTGTGGTGGGTAGTTACATCCTAGGCTGGTATCTTCACTAACAAGGTCAACCTTTACCTTAACTGAGCCTATCTGTCTTTTTGCATCTATAATAGCTTATCTTTGAAATGTCTGGGTAACTTGTAACTTCTTTTTTTCCAGACCCCTTGAGGTACAACCTAATGTGCCTGGGCTCCAGGACAGATACCACAATTCCTTCATTGTTATCCTGTTCATTTGCTGGAGGCTAATTCCAGCATGTCACAGATGCAAGAAGTTTCATCAAAAGGTTGATGGAACTTGAGGCTTCAGCAGGGCTGAAGATTCATTGTTCCTGCACCCACCTAAGTATGTGTCTATCATTTTACTTTTTATCCAATCCCAGAGGTTTCCCTGCTTTGCTTTCTCCCGCCTCTCTATCTATCACCAATGGATTTCATGTAACCTACCAGTTCCTCCTTTGGTTGCAATGTACAAAAATAGATAAAGCCTGCCATTTTCTGGAGCATTATCTCACTTCATTGACATTCTGCTTCCCAGCAATTGTCGACAGTTTGGCTCAAATAAACTCACAAAAAATTGTTTACAGGTTTGAATGTTTTTTTACATTAACACTTCTTAGTAGAGTACAATTCATCTTAAAATTTATCACCAACAATAGTCATTATGCCATTTAATTCAATTTCACATCATCTGGGATGTATATTTTAAATTCAACCTGCGAGTTCCATTTTTTAAATGTATTCTTTTGTATTTGGTATTACCTTACTATCCAAACTAGAATATAAACTTCTCTGCGGAAGTAACTGTATTTCTTCAAAATTTTCTTAACTACAGAGAGCCTAGCAGTGAGCCCGTTGCTTTTAGTAAACCCAGTGTTTGTTGGTTAAAGTTCCTACAAAATGTAAATATATAACAAGACAATTCTCCCTACAAGTATTTAAATGTAAATTATGATATTACTATTATTAACACAGTATTTTATAATGTGCAATCTCTTCTCCCTAACATCTCTCAAATATCATCCCAATACACCAAGGTTGTGGGTTAGATCCCCAACAGGGCACATACATGAATCAACAAATGCATGCATAAAAAAGTGGAACAACAAATTCATGTTTCTCTCTCTCTCTCTCTCTCTCTCTCTCTCTCTCTCTCTCTCTTTGTCTCTCTCTCAAGATCATTATATGAAAAGAAATTTTAGTGATCTGGTAAAGTATTAAATAGATCCATGTGCTTTCATAAGAGTTCTCTATTTCAACATTCACAATTATTTTAAATCAAAGAATTAATGTTTAATTATAATAATAAAATAAATTTTAATGTTTCATTGATACTCAATTTAATTGTAGGTAAACAAAAAAATACTCACTAAGGAAAACTCAGAACATTTATAATTCCTATTACATGCTTCCTGTTTTTTAATTTATAATACAGGATATCAATGCAGACTATCTACTAAATCATTTTAATTTCTGAAATTTCAAAGTGCTTATCAAACACCTGGCAACTAACCTAAGCACCGTTTACTAATTTTTTATTATTAAAGTTTTATAATTAACATTTGCATAAGAAGCACAAATTAATGTGTATATTAAAATAGCCTCTCTGGTTAGTAGATTTTTTTAGAATTCTTCTACACTGATTTTACTCTCCATTTAAATCCCAGATGAACTTCAAAGGCAAATCTTTCATATTCCTTTGGAATATTTTGTCAAATCTTTCATTTTGCTCCACTGTCAAGTGATGTTTCCAGTCTCCAACGGTACCTAGAAATAAGCACATGATCAGCACCTGGGTGAGGAAGTGGCACTATCAGGGCAAGAGTTTCTTCCCACCCACTTTCATCTCCTCTTGAAGCCACGCTAAATATCTGGTAGTTCTCCATGGGTTTGATACTTCATGTTTCCTTACACAGAAATGAACTAAGAAACAAACTAAAAAACACTTCTAAAGTTCACTATCCTTACCTGTTATGCTTTCACCAACCACTACCATTAAATTATAACCTTTATTGAGATGGTATAACAAAAGTAAAATAGAGGACTAGGTTATAATTTTTTCTTATATTTTACTAAATACCAGGCACCAAAGAAATACAAGTACCATACCATTTCACTCATATGTGGAATTTAATGAACAAACTGAACAAACAAGCAAAATAGAAAGATTCATAGATAGAGAGCAGACAGACAACTCTGATATGGGGTAATTATTGGGAATGTGGGGAAAAAATAGAAAGAAGAACTCATGGACATGGACAACAGTTTGGTGATTGAGCGAGGGAGAGAGGTGGGTAGAAGTGGAAAATGGGATGGGGGGATAAATGGGGATGGGGAAAGAATAAAATAAAGAGAAAATCCTATATAATAAAAGGGTAATATGCAAATTGACCCTAAGAATGGAATGACCGGGAACGACTGGATGCTATGATGTGCACTGACCACCAGGGGGAAGATTCTCAATGCAGGAGCTGGCCCCTGATGGTCAGTGTGCTTCCACTGGGGGAACAACACTCAGCCAGAAGCCTACTCATGGGTGGCCAGTGCAGATGTGGTGGCGGGAGCCTTTCCCGCCTCTGTGACAGCAAAGGGGGATGTCTGACTGCCAGGTTAGGCCTGATACCCCGGGAGCGGCACTAAGCCAGCAGGTGGAGATCCCCAGAGGGCTCCCGGACTATGAGAGGGCACAGGCTGGGCTGAGGGATTACCCTGTCCGAGAGCACAATTTTTGTGCACTGGGCCTCTAGTATATATATAACAATAAAAATAAATGCCGGGCACCATACTTGGCAAACTATATCTATCATGTAATGTAATTTTTAACACAACTCCACAATATCGCATTTCTTCGTTTTTAAAATTGAAAAACCTGAAGGGCTTAAGAAGTACAAACTGGTAATTACAAAATAGTCATGGCATGTAAAATACAGAAAGAGAATATGGTCAATAATATTGTAATAACTATGAATGGTGCCAGGTGGGTACATTAATTATTGGAGGGATCACTTCATAAATTATATAAATGTCTAACCACTATGCTGTGTATCTGAAACTAATATAAAATAATCTTGAATCTCAACTATAATTTAAAAAGTAAAAATAAATAAATAAAAAGCTAAAGATAAAATAAATAAGTTTGAAAAGACAGACTGGCTAGCAGAGCTCAGTGGTTGAGCATTGACCTATGAACCAGAGGGTGTGGTTCAATTCCTGGTCAGGGCATATGCCACGGTTGCAGGCTCAATCCCCAGTGTGGGGAGTGCAGGAGGCAACCAACCAATGATTCTCTCTCATCATTGATGTTTCTATCTCTCCCTCCATCTCCCTTCCTCTCTGAAATCAATGAAAATATACGTTAAAATTTTTTAAAAAATGAAACCCAAAGATTTTCAGGTACTGAAATCGAGGTCACAGAGGGTGTTCAGAGCTGTCATTGCTTCAGTTTTACTTGATGGAACTTAGAAACTGTCATTAAGCCAATTTTTAAATGAAGATTATTTGGCATCTTCAACTATCAAATTTTCTTATTTAAACATTATCATTGGCATTTGGAACAGTTAGCAAGCTACTTATGGGCATAAGAATTACTTTGTATTTGGTCTAGTTAAGCAATGAAACTTAAAAGCCAATAATAAATCAGACAAAAAAGAAACACTTTTCTAAAAAATAGCAATATCAAGAAGATCTTCATTAATTAAGAATAAATATCCATCATCAAAATGCTAAGATATGGATAAATTAGTGAATAACATATGAATAAAAGAAGTACAAATTATGTTCTAGAAAAATGTACATTAAAAGATAAAAAAAATTAATTGAAATTAAGAAGTATCAGGGGGGAAATATTTTCATTCTTAATTCCTGGCATGTCATAGAAACACAATAAAAATTAATTGCATGTTGTTATTGAATACTTGAATTCATAGCATATTGGTTTCATGAAGTATTATTCTACCTTTTACATTGAAGAAATATGACACATGAGGAAATAAGTAACTCAAACTCCCTCCCCCACAACAAAATACATGTTGGGTTTACTTCTAGAATATACTCGGAGAAATAAAGAAAAACAATAATTGGAGCTGTCCTGGTTACACATATACATCTCCTTCAGGTAAGACTTGCTAACTAATTTTAAAGAGTAGGGACATGTAGACTAAAAGGAAGGAATGTAATACAGTATTGATTACTTAGGTTTACGTGTTAGACTATGTACTAAAAAATTGTTTAGTTTCCTGGGATACTTTTCAGGGCCATTTGCAGGTAAGATCTTTGATTCTCTCCAGGTTCCAAATGTCAGTACTTAAAAAGACACGGTAAAAACACGCCTTAATTAGTGGAGGGGCCAAGCAATCATGGAACTCTCAACACTTTTGCTTCTAAAAACCCCTGAGCATCACCTTTGCGAAGAAAATGTTCCTCATCTGTTCTTTTCCAGTTGTTACATTTTAGAATCTCATCAAAATTTGCTCTTGGATCAGACTTCATGTTCTGAAATGTAGACTGTTTCACAATAGCTTTCACATCCTCTTCACTCAGTTCTTTCTCAAGAAAACGGCTGATTTTAAGCACAGAATTTCTGAGATCCTGAAAGAATTGTGGGTATGAGAAACTATTCAGCTTACAAAGAATGCACGAGTTACATCCCAACACCTTTATCACATTTTGGAAAACTGAAGGTGATTGGACTTATTGTAAGTCTAAAGTTTGACAAAGATACATTACTTTCCTATTCCTTCTATGAAAATGAGTGCTCTGGTTGTCAGCTTTGTTAGAGCTTTCTATTGTTTGATTTTGCAAGGACAGCTTACCTTCATTCACTCATTCATTCATTCAACTGGCACTTTTAGGAATGTTATGTTTCAAAAACTGTGATAGGTGCTGGAGAAGTTTAAGAGAACAATAATATGCTATCTGTGCTTGTTAAGAGTTTATAATTTCATGAGGGAAAGAGTAAAGCAAGTAATTAAATACAATGGCTACAAAAAAGGAAAGTCCAAGTTTGGTGGCTTCATTGGTTATTTCTACCAAACACAAATTAAAGAAGAATAAACACCAATCCTCAGACTCTTCAAAAAAAATCAAAGCAAAGAGGAGGAAATACTTCCAAACTCATTCTGTAAGGCCAGCATTACCCTGATACCAAAGCCAAATGAGAACACTACAGGAAAAGAAAATGAAAAACCAATATCACTTACAAAAGATAAGATACAAAAATCCTCAACAAATTACTAACAAAACAAATTCAGTAATGCATTAAAAGGACTATACACTATGAACAAGTGGGATTTACTCCTGGAATGCAAAGATGAACAGCCCTAGTTGGTTTGGCTCATTGGATAGAGCCTTGACCTACAGACTAAAGGGTCCAGGGTTTGATTCCAGTCAAGGGCATGTATCACGATTACAGGCTCCTCCCCAACCCGGGCCCTGGTCAGGGCACATGCAGTAGGCAACCAATCAGTGTGTTTCTCTCACATCAATATTTCTCTCTGTCTTTCCCTTTCTCTGTCTTTTACTCTCCCTAAAAATCAATGGAAAAATATCTTCAGGCGAGGTTTAACAACTATAACAACAACAAAAGATCAGGAACAAGGCAAGGATGCCAATTCTCACCATTTATATTCAGCCTAATACTGGAAGTCCTAACCAGAGTCAATAGACAAGAAAAAGGCATCCAAATTTAAAGAAAGACGAAAATTATGTGTTCACATACAACATGATTATATACATAGAAAACACTAAAGATCTACAAAGCAAACAAACAAAAAAACCCTGTTAGAACTACACTAAAAAAAACTCAGCATAGTTGTAGGATACAAAACCAGCATCCCCAAATCATTTGCATTTATTTACACTAACAATGAACTGTGGTTTACCAAACTGGTCTCTAACTAGTTTGCCTATATTTACTATTATCATTTTTAAACCCATTAGAGAGAATTACATTCTAAAGATACTAATTCTATCATATAGCTATTCTTCTTATAACTGTAAAAAGGACTCATTATTCCTCTTAAGATGAAGAAATTACTATCACTAACAAAGACTACAGACCTTGCATGGTCTGGCTCCTACTGTATCCACCTCTCTATCTTAATCTTTCATTCCCTCCACCTTGCTCTTTAACTTCTTCCTTCCAAGATATCATGCACCTGACAGCTTCAGATATTTTCCACATTCTCTCTTCTTGGCTTAGACTTCTCTTTTACTTCTCTGACAACTCATATCTACTCACTTGAAGTTGTCATGTTACTTTTCCAGAAACAATTGCCTATTACTTATACCAGATCAGTATATTTCATGTACTATCATACCTGCACTTTTCCTTGATAACAGTTTTCACAGATTTGAAGTATATATACCTATTAAGTGAATACTTGTATTCCCTGTTGGATTATAAG